ATACAAATCTTCTCAGTATGGATATGAGTCATATGACACGGGTCATACAACTACAACCCCTAGAACTACAATAAGTTCTTAGCTTTTTGATAGTCTTGCTAAAGGATACGGATCAAATTATCAGACTCAACCTTGTTATCAACAATATTGTTCTAGGGAGCAATTTGAGCATTTCATACAAATATATACAACAACATACTCTAATAGAATGAGTTGGGGTGAATATTGCACTTTGGTTAGAGATCAGCACAAAGTAGATATGAGCAATTATGAGCTTGCAACAAACTCCCTGTGGTACTGAATTATTGGTTGTCATCACATGATTTCAGGTATATAAGTAAATAATTTATCAAATAATTAATTTTTATTATGATTTTAATATTTATTTATTAGTTATTTTTGAATTGTATGTTATATAGGTTATTAACGGACATCATCATTTATATATATATATATATAATACAATTAAAGTAATAATAAAGTACTAACATATTAATTATTCAATAATAACAAATTAATTCTAAAATGATAATCAAAATGATAATTAATAAACTAATAAAAAGTACTAATAAAACATAATAAATTAATAATAAATACTAAGGTATTAATTATTAAATGCTAATAAAATAATAATAACAAAGTACTAATAAAATAATAATTATATATTAATAAAATATTAGTAAAGTAATAAGAAAATAATAAATATACTAATAAAATTACTTTTGGTCCTGTTGGCAAATCAAATAGACCTATATATATATAATACAATTAAAGTAATAATAAAATACTAACATATTAATTATTCAATAATAATAAATTAATTCTAAAACAATAATCAAAATGATAATTAATAAACTAATAAAAAGAACTAATAAAACATAATAAATTAATAATAAATACTAAGGTATTAATTATTAAAGACTAATAAAATAATAATAACAAAGTACTAATAAAATTACTTTTAGAAAACATTGAACCAAATCAAACAGACCCTAAATCTCATTTTTTTTCAACACTGAACCAAAAAATGAAATTGTCCTTCTATCTAGCTAGGCAATAGGTAAGCAATTCAACAATTTGGGTCAAATGGGTCAAGCCATTATATCATAATAAAATAATGAAAATTAAAGAAACAAAAACACAAAATATACAAAAAAGTACATAATACTTGTAGAAAACATTTAGAATATCTCTAATATAAAATTATTTTATAAACATAATATTACTCTCTTTGAGACAAAATATTTGAATGTATATTACTATTTTCATCATCTAAAATTTACACGCACATGCGAATTTACTAGTATATATATATGTATGTATGTATAGTCAAATAATAAAATATCTCATCGCATTACTCTCCCATTCGATACCACTTACATATTATCTCATTGCATTCTTCTCCTCATTTGATACCATTTCACATGGTATTAGAGTTAATCAGTCCTAGTCTAAGAATCTCTCCTCTTTTTCATTGATCCTACTCTACATCAACATTCCAACGCTCTCTTGATGGTGATGGCAGAGGCAAACTCAAACTCGCTAATCCATTATATCAAATATAATGGATTTTTGATAGTGGTGAATCTGATTACATTATATCAAATATATCCCTATTTTTTTACTACTCCAACAATGTCTAATCCAAAATTGGTACATCTACCCATTGGTGCTACTGTTTCTGTCTCACACCATGGCACAGTCTCGCTAACTCCTGGTTTCTCTATTAGTGATGTAATGTATGTCCTTGCTTTCACTTGTAATCTTCTTTCAGTCAGCGAACTAACTAAACAATTTCGATGTGTTGTATCTTTCTTTGCCACTCATTATGTCATATAAAACCATGTCTTGAAGACCACAATTGGAACGGATGAACTTCAAGACGACCTCTACTACATCCATTTCTCTTCTCTTATATCTTCTCATCTCACCAATTCCACATCATCATACGAAATGTGGCATATGTGCCTTGGCCTTGCATCCAGGTCTCGCTTATCCTTACTTCTCGGGATTTCCCTCTCACCACTTGATGCATATTGTGATGCTTGTCAATGCGCTAAGCGGACACGAGCTCTGTTTCCAATCAGCCATTTTAGTAGTACTTTTCCATTCCAATTGTTATATTGTGATATATGAGGCGGTTACAAAACCCCTCCCCATACCAATTACTACAAAAAATTACATTTCTAGTGACATTTTTTGAACTAGCTATTTGGCGATTGCCGCTAGAAATATTGATCTTTAGTGGTAGTCTTTTAAAACTGCCCTATATACTTCACAATTCATCTTCTTCTTGCTCTCTCTCTCTCTATGTTTGATTTAAGAAAGAGCAAAAAGCTGAAACTCCAACTCTAAAAGAAGATCGACAGGTAAGTCTCTCTCTCTCTCTTTCACACACACACATTGGCATTTGATCCTAATATAGTTCCTAAATGCTTTTAAATGTTTAGATTTTGCTAAAACCTTATCAATAAATAGAAAACCTAGGTTATAACTTGGTAAACTTGCTTGGAATTTTGACTGTTTTGTGTTTTGCATGTAGTGCAATTAAAAACTATTTCGAATTTTAGATCTTACTTATACAAGTCTCTTATTTAATTCAAAGGCAATATTCTCACTCAGCAGCAAATTATTTATTCAAAGCTGATTTGTTTCTGTGTGTGTGGTTGCTTTCGTGATTTGTTTCTATTGTGTGTTTGTTTGTGCTTGCTTTGCAGAAATTACTTTCAGCTTTAAATTTTCCATACTAAACCCTGACTTGATTTGGAATTTGAATCATTGAATGCTAGCTAGCTTTTATTTTTCTTCCTGTGGTTGGAGTAAATACATATCCTCAGGCTCAGGATCTCAAAATAGCTGAGAAAAGAACAGACAAGCAAGTACGTATAGAATATTTGCTCCAGATCTCCTTTTTCATGGTGGACCTACTTTAGCAGAAAAGAACACCAGAATGCCCCAGAAGGGTTCAGGCAAAGGTCAGGGCTGAAGTCCTGAACCAATGTCCAATGCCAATCTTCCAGCTTAGGCACATGGTTTTGAACTACTGATTGGGTAGAAGTAGAGAGAAGAGTGTGCATGGGAATGCATGAGGGGCTCATTATTTCATTATTTCATGGGGTTCTAGCTCCAGAGAAAGGGAAGAAGTCGTTATTTCAAAATTACAAACCCAATTGCGCTAGCTGGTTTGCTCAAGCTTAAGCATTAATGGTTCCATTAAGAACAATTACTTGGGTCTAACTATCTTTCCATGTGAATTCAAAATTTTTGAACTTTCTGAACTTCTCTGATTGGGTAGAGAGAGAGAGAGAGAGAAAGGAAGGAGGTGGGAGTCATTCAAAATTACAAACCCAATTGAGCTGGCTGGTTCAGTCATTTCTGAACCTCAAGCAGTTAGTGGTTCCATTAAGAACAATTGCATGCGTTTGGCACTCATTCCAGGCCAACTGGCCACCACTCTCTCTCTCTGAAGAATTTCAAATGCATGGATTGGGGAGGGTTAGAGGGTATCTGCTTGAAGCCTTGTACACGAGTGTCCCTCATTAGTCATTATTAGACTGACTTGACATGGATGAATCATACTTGCGTCAGTTTGTTTCTGTCGCCTTATGCATGTGATCACTCACTCAAGTTGAGCCAATTAACTGTGTTACAAACTAATTTGACAGAGATTTTCAATTTTAGATCAAGCAAAAAACACTCATGAGGATCCAACTAGCTCTATTTACGATCAAATCAATGGCTCTCGAGCTCGTTCAGATGATGAGGGTTACATAAGTACATAACCAATAGCCTGGAGACAGAACGGGCTCAGAGAAGTAATTAAACGGGGAGTTTCAGGCGTTGAGAAAGCCCAAAAAAAAGTCCAAGTTGACGAAGAAATGCATAAATCGGTAGTCGACATTGGAAAAACGACTGATCCACGGTTGGTCGTCGTCGTCGTCGGTCACAGATCAGGTATCGTGCGCCGCCCCCTCTGTGTTTGGAGTTTGAATGGAAGAAGAGAGAAGAAAATCTTCCCGCAGGGGTAGTTTGGGGATTAAAAAATATCAGGGACTGTATCGTTTCATGTCATTCGAATAAACACTTCTCCAAGTGCTGAAAAAAAGCAGCTTTCAATTCACTTTTATAATTTTCTATAAGTGATTCTTTTTTAAAAAAGACTTATTAGTGACTTTTTTATCAGACATGCATAAATCCCTTGATATTTCTTTCATTCAATATAATTGTGATTATCCTGATGATTTTTAATTAAGTGTAAGGTATTGTGTGTTTTGCAATAATTAGTTGATAGGTGCGGACTTCACTTATAGAAGATATATCTAAGAGACAGAGCTAGGAATTTCTATGTAAATTAGATTATGGGTAATAGAGAAAACTTCTCACCAAGAAACAAGAAACAGACCAATTCTAATGGCAAAACTTAACAACTGAGAGCCACCATAAGTTGATAATTCTTTGTAAATTAAATGATAATAGCACACAATAGGAATGCAAGTGTGGTTGCTCAAACTGAAGACCATTCTACATTGTCTTAGGTCATCTAGCACTAAATGCTTTCCCTATATATGGTTAAATATTAAAAATTAGGCCCATTCAAAATTTAACAAATCTACAATCCAATAATCCTATTGAAGTTGATCAATTTAGCTTTGGATAGTGCAAGCCCATGTTCATATTGTTTGAATTGTCTCTTGCAATCTTGCATTAGAAATATTTTCGCATGAAGTAAAACACATATGTATGGAGATATTCCCAATGTAAGGCTGTAAAAACTGTTTAAACTGGCATTGCACTGATTTGAAGTTGCACCCCTAACATTAAATGCTTTCTATTTATGGTGAACCATTAAGGTAGTTTAACAGTCGCATCTTAATTAACATGAATTAGGTAATTTCCTCTCACCCTACCATAAAAATAATATATATTTGAAGACTTATGGCCATACGATCACATTACTTTAACCCACAATATCATTCATGACACAACAAAAAAATAAAAAATAAATTAAAAAAATATCCATGACTCATCTGCATGCATTATGTGTTGAACAATTCTACGGTACCAGCTTAATTCCTACACAATTCAATAAAGATATGGGGCCTCGGCATCATTTAATCAGTCAGCTTGCGCTTGAGAACGACAAGCAATTGAGTCACTCTCTCATGCCTTGCATTGAAAATATAGGAAGACTGATCAGCAAGTTTCTCAGAGAACCGGTCGAACAGTTGGTCTATGATCTCACTTCCGAAGTGTTTCYCGATGATTCCCTGCATGGCAGCTCTTAAGTGCATGGTACCTGTTTGCACATCAGGCGTTGTTAAGTTGGTAATCTGCTCCAGTCTCTCAATGCTGAAATAACCATTTCTCTCTACCAGATCCTCAATCTCCCGGGGAGATACCAAATACATGGGTAGGTTGAAGGAGTCTACTTTGGCTTCATCAGTTAATCCCATCTTTGCCATATCCATGAAGCAGGAGCCTAGAAGATCATACAAAATGCCACCAGTGGACTCAGAAACAGGGGTCCCATTTGGAATTGCTGGCATGATAAGGACCATCATCCCACCACAGACAATCTCCTTTGCTCTAGCAGACAAAAAGGTCCCTATGTCCTTGGAGAACTGGGTTGAATAAGCCTGAATTACTTCCTCTGAGGCACTTGCGTAATAGATCTTCCCTTTGTTATATGCAGGAGAGTTTTTGTCGGTCACCTCTTTTGGCACCATAGAGAGCCATTGGAGTGCATAAGAGGAGTGCACAAAATCGAGAGAGCCTTCAGGAAACAAGCGACCATAGAAAGACCCCGGAACACCGGCCATGAAGTATCGCCTGTCGGCAGGGAGGGAGGCGAAGAGTGTGTTGAAATCATTCGAGACATGATCGTTGAAGAAGACGTGAAATTCTGGGATGCCAGAACTACTTAGGCCTTCAATTTGGAGCTTGTTCTCTACGGCTGCAATTATGTTCTGCACCGCAAAAAATGTATTGGGTCCAACCGAACAGCCCAAATCTGCAATACGAAATGGGTAGGAAGTAGAAGAGATGGGTTTGATGTCAAGTTTCTTGGAGATTTCCTCGCAAATCATTTCTCTGGAAGCATGTATAACTGATCTCTGCAAAACATGCCATGTTTTCTCTTCTCTTGGGTCAGTGTTACTATATATGACAATAATCACCATGGATTATCAAGCAGAAAAGACATGAAAACATGGATGGAGTCTGATATATAATTGAAGAATATGTAAAGGCACCTGATAATCGGAATTTTTCGTGTAGCTATAAAGGCCGTCTCCTCCRGTCATGGGATGTGCCTCAGCTGATATATTGATCTTCTCAACCTCCATCTCCATTTCCACCTTTCTCTCTCTCTCTCTAGCTTACACTAATTAACCAGGCAAGGATTGAAATCGGATTTAACTAAAAGACTAGATATATATAATATTCAACCCACAAAAACTTGGGAATTTGCTGGGAAACTACTTGTGTGAACATATAGAAGCATTGAAGAATGTGGCGTTTGTCATTCTTTTTAATATTTTTAGTTSTGTCCACTATTAATAAAAGTAAGTTTTATTCGTAATGTGATGTATACCCAGGAAAATTTTCTACAATACTTTGCTGTTTCTTTTTTATTATTTTAATCTATCATGATTTTAATAATTTTATTTTATAATTTATAATATTATTGATCTAGAGATTTAAACTGCTGACCCGTGGCCGTGGGGAAACTGCTTGGGATATCTCTTTTGCTGTTTGTTTGTTTTTTAAAGAATTTAAAAATTAATGTTATTAATGGGTGTTGTTGACGAGATGAATTGTTTTTTATTATTGTTGGTTCTAAAAATAAATCAAAACCATTTTATTTGAAAACAGATTGCTTTGAATTCTTAAAACAAAAACACATAAAACATGTTCTTGATTGTATGTGTTTTTTGTTTTCAGAAGTGATACCAAAAATATGTTCTTGAATCTGGTTTCAAAGATACATTTTCATCTAATTATTCGACATCGTGTTTCCTATATATAATTTTTATATTAAAAATTTGTTTTTATTTAAAAAATAATATTTTAATGGTTTAAAAAACATGTATTGTCTTTGGAAACAAAACTAACCTGTTTTTCCTTGAAAACAAAAATATAGTTCAATAACACATTTTCATTTTTTTTTTCTCTGATGCAGTGATTCCAAAAACAGATGAAAAGAAAAACATATTTATAGAATGCCCCTAAGAGGGTATTTTACAACATGAATGTTTTTGTTTTCATTTGTTTTTGAAATTGCCACATTAGCAAAAAATCAAAAACATATTCTTGAACTCTGATTTTATTTTTAAAGTGAAAAACAAGTTGGTTTTTGTTTTGAAAAACAATACATGTTTTTAAATCAAGAAAAATATTAGTTTTTAAAACGAAAACAAAACTTTTAATATAGAAATTATATGATTTGTAGAACATGATGTTGAATAATTAGATGAAAACATGTTTTTGAAATCAAATTCAAAAACATGTTTTTAGCTTTAATTATGAAACCAAAAAACACGTACACAACCAAGATGTTTTTTTATGTTTTTGTTTTAAGAAATAATTTGTTTTCAAACAAGATCGTTATGATTTGTTTTTAAAACCTTAAAAAAAAAAACAATTCATATTGTACAACGCCCCGTAAAAAGTTTGAAATCCATGCGTCTCACGGTCTGGTCCAGTTCAAGTTTAACAACATCCAAGACTATGGTTCTATGAAGACCTTACGACATAAAAAAGGAAACTCGCATGAATTTCTGAATCACAAGCCTACAACTTCGACTTTATTTATCAATGTTAGAAAGAAAACAATTTACACTATACTTGTTCAAGACATTGAAAAAATGTAGTCTTACTGATCAGATATAAGACCTTGAATCACTGGCTGGGCCTCTCACAGTCCTACTCATCAGAAACCTTTTTTCTTGTTTTTTTTTTTCTTCGGACATACATCTAGCCAGAAATTCATATGGACTACGCAATTATTGGGTCATACTAATCATGTACAGCTAGGCCCAATTAGTTTAGAGCAATTAATATTGTAGCCATGCCAATCCCTTGTGTAGAGGTTGTGAGGAGATCAGATTGGCGCCCCACAAGTGCCCCATATACACATTTCAACATGTATTGGAAACACCTTCTGCAGTTAACAATATTATATTGGCCTCATAAACACTCTACATGTACATCTCAATGTGCATTAGGAATATTTCTCTATGTTGTTAGTGGAAGATATTTCTAATACACGGTTGGGATATGCTGTTGGGTATCCTCTATGGGGCACATATGTGAATTCATAGTTATCCCAATACACGGGTGGGAGGTGATGTCGGTTATGCAGCATCTCTTGTATTGAGGAGGCATGAATTCAAAACATCAAACCATGAAAAAGCAGGCTTTCCAACTTTGTGGTAGTCGGTCTCTTTAGGCATGCTTATCACTAACCCCATTAATCTACTATAACCAACGCAGTGTTTAGTATGTTTGGTGCTTTTTGTAAAAGCAGAGCTTTACTGATTTATACTTTTCTTTCTATCTGTCTTATTCATTGAGAATTCAAGTATATATACACATGAACGAACCTCCTATCTGGCAACTAGAACTCCTAAGTTTACAGGGACTCAAACATATCTTTCCTATCCTATCTAAACCATTCATGATAAGGGAAGGATAAGAAGATATATACAAACAAGATAATACTGATCAGACTCCTAATCCTAACGCCCCCCTTCAAGTTGGAGCATGCAGATTGTGAATGCCCAACTTGCGGAGAAAGTACTCAAATTCTTTGCGACCCAGTGCCTTTGTAAAGATGTCAGCTAGCTGAACGGTAGTTGACACATAAGCAGGACAAATGCAACCATTTTGAATCTCATCACGTACAAAATGGCAATCTACTTCAATATGTTTCGTACGCTCATGAAACACTGGGTTTGCTGCAATATGCAAGGCTGCCTGACTATCACAATATAATCGCATTGGGTTTGAATGCGTAATTCCACGAGCCAATAACAATCCCTTCAGCCATTTTAATTCACACGTGGTCGTGGCCATAGAACGATACTCTGCTTCTGCTGAAGAACGAGCCACGGTGTGTTGCTTCTTAGTTTTTCAGAAAATAAGTGATTTCCCAAGCAGAATAAATCATCCAGACAGAGAACGTCGAGATAAAGGGCAGCTCGCCCAGTCTGAATCACACCATCCATATAACTATAAGTCACAATCTGAAGCAAGAGAATTCCTTGACCAGGATTTCCTTTCAAGTAGCGTACCACTCGCAATGTAGCCTCTCAATGTCTTTCCTGCGGTTGCTACATAAATTGGGACAGAACATGCACACAATAAGACAACTCTGGACGAGTTGCTAAGAGATAAATAAGCCTGCCCACCAAGCGCCTGTATCGCTCAGGATCAAATAAGAGAGGCCCCTCTGTCAAGGCGAGATTGTGATTCTGTTCAAGAGGAAAAGGAGCAGGTTTTGCACCAAGTAATCCAACTTCAGAGATAATATCCAAAGCATACTTACGTTGAGACAGAAAAATTCCTGTTGAGTTTCGGGCAACTTCAATGCCCAAAAAATATTTCAATGGTCCCAAGTCTTTCATATGCAAGCAGTCACTCAAATATTTCTTGAAGACTTGAATTGCCATACGATCATTACCTGACACGATAATGTCATTTACAAACACGAGAACAAGCACATTCACCTTGTCTCGATGAAAGGTGAAGAGAGAGTAATCTGAACATGATTGCTGAAACTCATATGTCTTCAAGGTTGCGGTTAATTTAGCAAACCAACATCTCAGTGCATGTTTCAAGCCATATAGAGATTTTCACAACCGACACACCATACCTGGTTTATCCGACTGAAAACCAGGAGGCATTTGCATGTAGACTTCCTCATGAAGGTCACCATGCAAGAATGCGTTATGTTCGTCCATTTGATGAAGCTCCCAATTTCTAGCTGCTACGACTGCAAGGAAGGTACGGATAGTAAATGGGGCAAAAGTTTCATTATAATCAATTCCCTTAACCTACTTGTTCCCAAAAATCACGAGACGGGCTTTGTATCTTTTCACTGTCCCATCAGCGTTATACTTGATTCGATACACCATTTTGCATCCTATGGCTCGTTTTCCGGATTGCCAAGGCTCCACAGTCTATGTCTAATTATTTTCAAGTGCTTATATTTCTTTCTGCATTGCATCTCTCCATTTTTCATCATTTACGGCCTCAGCAAAAGAAGTAAATTCAACTCCTGCAGTAATAGCTGCCAAAAAAGCACGATATCGACAAAAAAAATTGTTACACATAAGCAGGACGAATGCACAATATCAACACCTAATCCTAACACTCTTAGCTAAAACATTTTAGGCTCATCAATTCAAATTGCATACTATTGTTATTTGAGGGTTGATATATTTGTATCTAGATGAACCAATCATAGTCAGCTCTATCAGTCGATCTTGGTGATTATAGTCTTTAGGGCTCATTCAATTTTTGGATTTTGAGAGGAAAAAGTTGGTCGATCAAAGTTTTTTTTTTTAAATTTACGTAGGATCTATGAAAAATTTATTTATTTTTACTGCTAAGAAATTTCTACGGAGGCGAGTTGAATAGGGCAGCACATACTTTGACTTATCTTATTATTATATCGACAAACCTAACTCATGTCTATGGACTACTTCTCCTCCTTGTAAAAATTCTTCTGTCATACAGAGATCCATCTCTCGTTTGAGACTTCCTGTACCATTGAGAGTTGTTGATTAAAGTAGGGGTATTCACCAATGGTTCTATTTTCAAAAACAGCAAGATTCAATCCTGCATTCCGAGACAAACATAATTTAGTGGCCGCCTGACCGGTCTATAGTTCAAACAATCAAAATGTTTATTAAATTGACGATTCCTCCATCAGCTATCCATTTGAAAAAATAGTCCAATGACCTGCCTTTTAGGTAGTGTCTTACATGCCAGTGCACCAATATATTCTGGTGCATCACATACGTACTAATAAATAAACATGGATAATGAATACTCATAAACCCTACCTCAAAATAAATAAGTTCTGTTTTTAAAACCATTAGATTTGTATCTAGATGTGAATCTATTTATACTAGTGAGCCAATCATGCATATAAAACATTTATTTTTAAATTTAACCATTGGATAAGAATCAATATAGTAGCTAGTGTCACATTGAATATTAAATATTTCATTTAAACTTTTTAGGTAGCAACCATACAAGACGAAAAAAAAAAAGTTTATCCAGGATTCATGCATAGTCATGTGTTGAACAATACGATGAGAAACCAGGCTTCAACAAGAACTTGGACTTTATTGGGGTCTTGGTACCGTTTTAATCAGTCATCTTGCGCTTGAGAACGATAAACAATTGAGTCCCTTTCGTATAGTCTGCGTTCAAAAGATAGGAAGACCGGCCAAGTTTCTCAGAGAACCGGTCGAACAGTTCGTCTATGTTCTCACTTCCGAAGTGTTCCTTGATGATTCCCTGCAAGGCAGCTCTCAAGTGCATCGAACAGGATTGCTCAGTAAGGGCGCCTGTGTTCCTTGTTACGTTGATGACTTGCTCCAGTCTCTCGATGCTGAATAACCCATTTCTCTCTACCAGATCTTCCAGCTCCTGGGGAGAAGCCATGTAGAAGGGGAAGTTGAAGGAGTCTACTTTGGCTTCATCAGTTAATCCTATCTTTGCCATATCCATGAGGCAGGACCCCAGAAGATCAAACAACATACCAGCAGTGGACTCCGAATGAGGAATCCTATTTGGGAGTCCTGGCAGGATAAGGACCATCAGCCCTCCAGAAACAAGCTCTGTTGCTCTTGCAGAAAGAAAGGTCCCCATGTCCTTGGCGAATTGAGTTGAATAAGCCTCAATCACTTCCTTTGAGGCACTTGTGTAATGGACTTTCCCTTTGT